TTCCCGCTGGCTGGCGAATTTGCGAGCGGCTTGGCAATCGAAATCCGCTCATTGGCTGCATTGACTCAAGCGGAACGCGTAGTTTTGGTTGGCTATCAAAGTGTGTGTGTATGTTTGTGTGTGTGTGTGTGGTTGCAATAGTGGTTGTGGTTACGCCTCTGTGTGTGTGTGTGTGAGAGCCGCCCTGTCCAATACAGATGCCTGATTAGAGGAGTTTTGATATAGTAATCGACCGCAGCGTGTAATAATTCCTGCGGTTTCATAATGCCCAACCACACACAAACACAGATATCCTTGGTGGTGCGCAACCGCTGACACCAACACACATACACCACCACCCCTTAACTCATGAATAACACACACACTTAACCCCCTTTTTTCGCCGAAGAAACCGCAAAACGAAGGAGGGTTGCAAAGGCCTACGAAATAATGTGAAAAACCAAAAATGCCTAAAGAAAAAACCCGAAAAACCCAAGGAAGTATTTAGCACCGCCCTGTAGGGAATTTTCAGTTATTTTTCATTTTTTTTTTCTTATTTTCCAATGGGCGGGCGGTTGGCTGTGCCCCAGCCCCATGTGGTTGCAATTTTTCCACTCATTCTTCGGCTTTTCTTGGCCGCAAATGGCAGCCGCAAGATATCGGCCCTCTCTTTCCCGCACCCTATAGCCGTCTCTTTCGCGCTGGCTTACCAATTCCTGGTTTGCCACAAAGCCGCGTCTCCAACGCTTTGCTTTTGCTTTTTTTCTTTGCCTTCTTTTTGCTTTTTTGAGATGAGATGAGAGACTTTTTTTCGTTGAGTCCTTTCCAAGACGAAATTCTTTTGGGGGTTGAAGTAAAAGGAAACGACAAAAAAAAAACGAAAGCACCAAGGAAAGGCAAAGAAAAGCCTGGGAAAAAACTCAAGAAGTTCGCCCCGTCTCTTTCCGGCCCGCTATTCACCTCTCGTTTTTTTCCAGAGTGCTTCGAAAAACAAAAAAAAAATTGAGCGCAATTTTTCTAAAAATCCGTGGTGGGTTGCCCTTTTTCAGGGGGTGGTAGGTGGTGAAGTAGGGGGTTCGACTCTACTCCACTCTTCTCAGTCCAACTTGAAGACGTCGTTGCGGCCTTTCTGCTTGTGGTGTAGTTGACGTTTTCTGGTTTCGGTTTTCGGTTTTCGGTTTACTTTGCCCTTTGCCCTTTTGCCCCTACCTCCCTCAGCCGACTGCGCTGCCGGCGTCGACGCCAACGTCGACTGCGCTGCCCAGCGACAACCGCTGCTACTGGTTCTCGCGGTAAATGTTAAGCCAAAAAAAGAAGGAGAGGCGGCATCCAAGCATCCAGAGCAACAACAACAGTTCCAGTAAGCAGGAAAAAAATCCAAGAAAGCACCACAGTCCGGCCTCCTTAGGGCGAACTTTGGGTCAGAGCAACCGTTTGTTCATACCAAATAATGATGGAAATAAATTATATAATATATAGCATTATAATTTAATACAACTTTCAAATAGATGGTTCTTCCTTTTTTATCTTTTCATTTTGTCTGAACTGTATCCGGGTCGAAAGACCAAATATGTAAGCAATCGGAAAATGTTGGTCCTTCGAGCCGGATTTCCTTAGTTCATAAGTTTTGTGTCGTAAAGAATTGTCCAAATATTATGTAAGTGAAAATAGTACATTTCCCCAATTACATTTACAAATAAATTAGAGCCTTGACTTTACAAATAAATTTCTTAAATTAAGAAAAAATAAAAATTAGGGTTTATTTTATTTTGAGTTCAATAACTCAAAACGCAATTGAAGTATTCTTTCTTAACGTTCGCTCGGCCGAGTCTTGACTGTATATACCCCCAGCAGTTGAGTAAGAAGTCGACATAGACGTTCCCCTGGGGGGCGGGGTGATGTTGCAGTCTTCAAAGGGGGGTGGTGGGTGGGTGGTTGACGAGGTGGTCCTGCTTCTTTTCGCCTGTGATTATGATGAGGCGTCGCCTGTTCGCTGTTCCTTCGTCCTTCGTGAGCGCTCTGCGTGAGACTTCGTTACAGTTGGATGTTGGATGCTGCTGTACACTCGTTCTATTTGGAAAATAGGAAAAGTGGGGGGCCTCTGCCGCGGTCGACGTCGCTGCCGACGTCGGTGGTCGGCGTTGCCAACCGCTCGTAGTGGTCGCGTTCATGGTTACCGCAAAAAAATAGTTTAATATCTCCGTGTCGTTTGATTCGATCGCCAGTCTCTCAGCCCCTCTATCTATATATGTGTGTTAGTGTCTCTGAGTCCCTGCTTCAGTGTGTGCGTGTGCCGTGCGTGTGTGTCGGTGTGTGTGTGTGTGTGCCGGTGGCTAAATAACAAAATTGCCAAATTACCACAATTAAAAAAAAGCTAGAAATCGCAAAAAAGTCTGGCCAAAATTCCATAATTTTTTTAAGGTGCTTGTGTTGTAAAAAAAGAATACAGAAACTACATTTGGTGCTGTGCTGGAAGAAAAAAGAAATATACCTAAAACTTCAATAGAAAAGTAAGTTTCTGGCTATCACGATCGTTCGTAAATTGGACCAAAAGTGATCGACAGATGTCCAAATTCGAAAGTCAAAGGATATTCTACTTTGTTCCACAAATAAACTTAATGATCAGCAACTTACAGTATTAAAATATTTGTTTTTACAAAAAAAACTTTAGTTTTTTTCGTGTTATTATTAAAATTTATAAAATGTATTTAAAATAATTTAAAAGAAGACAATTTATAGTAAAAATTAACTAATGCATTTTCCTCAAATTACATAGCTACATTTGCATGCAAAAGAAAGAGTTCTTTGTATTTTATTGATCGTAGTTAGAATAGATTAATTTCGTTTTAAAAATAAATATTTTTATAGAACACATTTGTTTTAGTTTTAATTTTTTTAATACAAACAAATAAATATTTAAAATATATTAAATACTTGAAAACATTTTTATTTTTCTAAAAATATTTAATACATTTGATATTCGTATTCTTTTATTAAACAAATAAATAAAATAAGCCACGAAACGAAAGTAAAAATCTTATAGAATATATTACAATTTCGAAATACCTTGCAGAGCATTAATCATAATTTTCAAGTCAATTGGTTTTGATTTTGATTTTCTAAGCACCACAATGCCGCATAAATCCATCCTTTTCGTTTTCCCACGGGTTCATTTACAATTGTTGGTCTAATTGTGTGGCTGCCACCCCGCAACCGACTTGTTTGTTAACCGATTATATAGACCGACTTCGGTGGAACCCCCCTTCCTCTTTCCCATATTATCTGTGGCCACATATGTCGCCACATAGTCGCTTGGCCAGCTCATTTGGCCGGACATCTGCATTCGGCAGCGTGCAAAAAATGCATATAAATATATATGAATTCACACGTATGTATTCATTACAGAGCGGAAGTTGTAAAAAACGCATAACGTATACGCAGCAGCCTACATGTATGTGTGTGTGTGTAGATATGTATGTATCTTTAGGTCTGATGGTGTTTGTGCAACTCTTGCTACTACATTACAAAACAAGAAGGACATTCCAGGGGTTCGAGAGATCAGAAGTTTTAAATACTCTTTTCGCTTTAGTATTTTTTCATTAAAAATTTTACATTTATTTAATTTTTTTCTGATAAATAAATAATACAAAATTTTATGTTTAAAATGGTATTTGTATTGTCTATTTAAAATTAATGTTTTTCTTTAAATATAAGAATATTTATCTTTTTATGATGTTGAATTTTATATAATATTTGTTTAGGTTCTAAATTTCATAAGGAAGATATTTGTAAATTTGTTTGGTATTCTTTCTTTTTTGTAAATTTAAATGAATATTGAAAGAAACTTGCAACGTAAATTGTATCAACAATAAAAATAACTTACGGCTTTATTTATAAAATAGTAATTTTGATTTCATATCATAATATCATAATTAAAACTTTAAAAAGTATCCTGAAAATAGTAAAATAGGCAAAGTGAAAACAAAACGCGTCCGTGTCCGGCAACTGGTTTTTATTTTTATTTAAACAAAGGCAACTGGCTGGGCATTGTTGATTTTTTGGTGGCCAAACACAAGCCGGCAACATCTGGCGCTTTCGATAATTTTTCCCCGTTTTTTGCGTATTTTTTTTTACCATTTGATGGACATGAAATGGATTCATTTTTTTTCTGCACATATGTATGCACATATTCGTACATCTTAGTTTGGGTCCAACGGCTGCCAACGGCTCGAAATTCCTCATTATTGGTTATGATTTTTTAATATTTAATTGAGCTGCAATCGCCGACGTCGGCTTAAATGCAAATTGTGCGCAAAGGTGTGCGGTTCGCTGCGATTCCATTCGATGCGATTCGATTCGTTTTGGTTGGCTTCTGTTTGGTTTCCAGATAGCGATACTATAGAGCAACAGTTTCTCATTCTGATTCTGATTCCGAATCGCCTTTGTGTCCCAGAACCCATCCACCATCCCCATCCCCCGAGGTCAAAGTGCAATAATAATTGAGCTGTTGTCGCTGCTGACGGCAATAAACAAAAAGTGCAGCATACTTATGCGGGCAGCAAGCGGAAAAACAAAGAAGAAATACAACAAAAGCGCGGCAATCGGGAATAAAAAATAAAATCAGTGCCGTGTTCCAAAAAACATTTTCAAAAAAAAAAAACATTTTTCAAAAAACAAAAATAAAAACAAAATAAAACAAGTGATTATTCTTAATTTAAAATGTAATTTTTCTTTAAAACAATGTGTGATAAAATATAATAGTGAAATTTTATACATTTCTTTTAAAACAATTTAAGAGCAATTTTAAACAAGATTGGTTTTATTATTTCAATAAAATACTGGCTTCAGTTATAATTATAAAAAATATATTTTTTTTAAGTTTTTAAAATTTGTTGAATATAATATTTAAATTTGCTAAAAAATCCTTTAGAATTTCCAGAGAATTCCGTTTAAAGAACCACCATACTCTCTGTTGGCAATCCGAATTTCACTCGCAGTCCACATTAATTTTCCAGATTGACCAAATGAGCTGACAATGATCGGATTGAAAGCGTCGACTCTTTGAGGCAGGCATTGAAATCAAACCGAAAACCCACGAAACGAAACCCGCCGGCAACTGAATCTGAATCAGAATCAGAATCCACTGAATATATACTGGCGGCCAAAGAGAGGCCCTGAAATACCTTGTGCCCAGCTAGCAGCTGCAATAATGCACATTTCTGCTGAGGTCAGTTCGACCACCTCAAATCAAATACAGCAGCAGCAGCAGCAACACCAGCAGCAACAGCAGCAACATCAGACGTTGCAACAGCAGCAGCAACAACAACAGACAGCAACAACAACGACCACAACGAAGCGGCGAAATGCTGAGTCCTCCTCTGCCAACAACAATAATAATAACAACAACAACAATACCAGCACCACCAACAACAACAACAACAGCACCACGAACAACAACAACAATAATAATAATAATGTTAAAACAAAGCCCGTGGACACGAGTCCTTACTTGACCCCCGAGAATCTCATCGAGCGCACCGTCGACGTCCTCCTTGCCGAACATCCCGGCGAGCTGGTCAAGACGGGGTCACCACATGTGGTGGGTAAACCAACAAATAAACTAAATACTATTCTATATTTTCACCCAGATTGTTAGCAACAAGAAAACATAACTATAAATTGTAAAGCAAATGAATTTTAAACAAATTTTGTTCTATCGGGGTCACCAAATTTACCCATATTTGGGTAAATATATTTATAATTTCTTTAGTTTTCATCGATAGTGCTAGCAACAAAAAAATAAGAACCATAAGATTTAAAATTGCATATTTAAGTTATTTTTGTTATATCGGGGTCACCTTTTATGTTAATTTACATATAATTAAATAGAGTATTACTTACATACAAGAAACTATAACATCAGATGGCAAAAAAAGAAAGGAAAATAGTTTATTTTATATTGACCACATCTATAGCTATGGGATATCCGAAAATTATATAATAAATCTTAGAAATTTTAATAATCTTAGAAATATTTTCCCATATCCGAACAGGTCTGCACCACTTTGCCCACGCACTGGCGTTCAAATAAAACGCTGCCGATCGCCTTCAAGGTTTTGGCCTTGGGCGAGGTCATGGACGGGACTATAGTGACCATCAGGGCGGGAAATGATGAGAACTTCTGCGGGGAGCTAAGAAACTGTACGGCGGTGATGAAGAATCAGGTGGCCAAGTTCAACGATCTGCGATTTGTGGGCAGGAGCGGAAGGGGTGAGTCCTATATAGTGTTACATAGAATTTAAGGAATTAAAAAATATATATATAGTTTATTTTAAAAATCTTTTTCCTATTCATCAAGACATTTTTATATATTTTTGCTTTAATTACTATTATTTCAGAATAATATAAGAATAAGTTATTGTAAAAGTCTAGAACCAAACGTGTTTTTGCTTTTAAGAATTTTTAAAATAATTTTTTTAATTATTAGTTTATTTTTTTATTATATTTTTATTATTTTTCGTTTTCATAAAATATTTTTATTATTTCACCACAATATTTTAATAAACTGCATGTAAAAAACCCTGTTGAATCATTTATCTTTTGTTTGTTTTCACTTTTGGTCATTATTTATTATTTGTTATAGATTTAATATTTTTTTGCTATTATTTCACAATAATATTTAAAAAAAACTGATTGTAAAAAGTCCTTTTGAATCATTTATCTTTTCGTTGCTTTCACTTTTGGTCATTACCATTTGGCATATCATTCGCGTTGATTGCTTGCTTCCTGCATAGCATATTGTCACACCCAAAAGTACACACCCCATGTGCCCAGAAAAATGCCCCCGAAAAATACATACAATCACTTGGCCATATAAAGAACACATCAAAAGCCGCTGACAAACTTTTGTAGCCAGCGTTTCCGGGTGCTGGGTCCTTGGTCCTTGGTCCTTTTTTGGCCTGGCATCAACAAATAAGATAAGTAGTCTGTAGTTAATTTTTATATGTCTATTGGGGACGTCCAGGGGCGTCGTCGCGAGATGTGAAGAGAGGGGGGCAGACGGCAGACAGTCTTGACAGTTCGTTGTCAATTTTGCTTGAGATTTTTTCTCGCCGCCGTTATTGCTGTTCATTTCGTCAATTTATCACGAACGCAATTTAAAAATCAAATCGAGGGTGACAGACAACATACTGTGATAGAATTTCCCTTTGCCTTCAGCTTTTCCTATTTTCTTTTTTTCCATTTTTTTTCGTTGGCAAATTAAATCAGCGTAACTGTTTATTCAAAGCCCCGGCAACACAACTTTTACTTTTCGCCCAAGTTATTTTTCTTCGGGGATTTTTTTTCGGGGCATGTCTAAGTGCGCGCTTTGCCGCGGCATTTGACAATTTGCTCATTAAGTTTGTCTGACCCCTCGAAAAAAAAAACCGACGGTGGGCGGTGGTGGGTTAAGGTCTCTTCTTAAGGCACCCTCATCAGCAACGTCTTCGAGCCATCCATCCATTTCATTCATCCATTTCGGCCTTTGCTCCTCTTGTTTGACATTTTTAAACGTTTCAAGTGCCAAATAATTCCTTGGGATTTACTTTGGCAAATCTTTTTTAAACATTTGATTATAGCAAGGACCTTTTTTCCCTACTAATTATCGGCAGGAAAGAAGAACGGCGGACAAAAAGGGCGTGACAATTGCCAAAGGGCAGCATCAAATGTTTTACAAATGGATTTAAATTATTTAACCCGAAATGGGAACCCTTTTTTTTCTCAGTTCTCTGGTTTTTTGGATTTTTTTTTTTGCAATTCCCTTCTCGTTTTAATGCGCTACAAAAGGATTACGTGGGTGGAAGTCTCGCTTCGTATTATTTGCTTAATTTCAATTAGCAAACAAATGCAAATCCCTTGTACTACGGAAAAGTAATGCAAAGCCTGCAATTGTAATTGTCCGTTCGTTGTCCGTTTGTTGTCCGTTCGTTGTATTTGTATTTGCTACAACTAATGCCACTTGCAGTTGTCAAGGCTGCAGACGCTCCAGCGCCCTTCGGTATGCAGCAAATTTATGAGGGCCAGCATGGGTTAAGGGGTGCGCATGGGTAGCAGGGGGCGGAAGGGTTAAACTCGGGGGACAGCTCTATTGATAGTCCTGCAAAAGAGCCTTTCATTATCGCAATTGCTGGGGATACGCTTTGCAAACGTGGGTGTTATGGAAATTTAGAGGGTTTCGAAAACGCAGAATCGGGGAAAAGCAGATTATATAAATGTTGATTCTTAAATTAAATGGTAAAAAGAAGACAATTTTATTTATTTAATATTTTAATGGTTGTATTAATTTTATATTATTATGTTTGTGTACTAGAAGATACTACAAATATGCTAAAAAATATGGACATTATTTTTATTTTATTTTAATATTTTCCAAATCAAAATTAAAATTTTTGTATGTATAATCCCAGTTCTTAGCAGAAAACTTTTGAAAAACTTTAAAGATTAAATTAAATTTTATAAGATAATTTTAAAAGTTCTTATAAATTGTTCCAAGTTGAAATGAAAATTAAATTAAATCACGTTGATTATTTTATTCATACCACTGTATTTATATCGATAATCCCTGGCCAGTTCTTAGCTGAAAAGCAATTCTTTTTTCGCGTGCGTGAAGCATTCGTAATTTTAATGATATGGACCACGCAGCGTATGCGTAATGCCGCTGGTTGGGGGGCAACGCAATTAGATAAAATGGCGGCATCAGCAGCTGCAATCGTGGAAATCTGTGAGTGGGAAATGGGAAGTGTGTGGAAATGGAACTGCAGTTGCAGCCAAGCGGAAACTGCATAATCCACACACCCACACAGATGCGCCCGCTCCCACACATATGCACAAATGCAACGGGCGTTGTTGTTGTTGTCGACTAATGAATTACAATCACTTGGATGCCGTTTCGTCGAAAGAGATTTCTCGGAACGGTCGGCAGCAGGGGGTTAAGGGGTCCAAGGGTTAAGGGTCCGGCACATGTAATTATTGTTGCCATATGCATGTAAATGAGAGCTGCACACTGATGTGCAAGCACTTTGAAGTGCATTACCAAAGTGCAACGCAACATCTAAGCTCCTGATAATATGTTAATTAACTGCAAGTGATTATAGCCTGCTTATTGCTCAGTTTATACCCGTAGAATGGGTTTGTAGCCCCCGCATTCAGTTCATTGTCAGCCAAATTCGTCAAATGCATTAGCTGATTGCCCCCACGATTTGTTCTCAATATATTAAAAACCCAAAAACCTTTTTAGTATTTATAATATTAAAAGTAAATATTTTTAGGTTATTAGATAAAATAAAAAATTCTATAAAAAGCTCACTTGGCTAGACTTTCGAGAAGACCTGAAAAACTAGGAAAGAAAGTGGTCCCACTATTTTGTTAGCATTTAAAATACTTTAAGACTTAATACAACAAATCCTTATATTTATATCGTTATAGTACCCAGTGGCGAATCTAGGATTTTTGTGGCGGGGCGTATCAGGAAAAAATTTTTTTGCATTCTTTTTGAATAGCGGGTTTTAAAAAAAATATGAGTTTTTTCTTAGTGTTTTTTTGCTGTAACTTCGCCAAAAATAATCCTACACCAAAAATACATACAGTTTTGAACAGATAACAAAGTAATAAATAAATCCATGACCCTTTCCGGGTGATCTTCAAAAAATTTAATTTTCGCCAATTTTCAATATTTTTGTAAGGGGGTGCATCATGATTTTTTGCGAAAAATGGCCAAAAAATAAAATGTTCAGGCTTAAATGCCAATCGATTGGAAATTTAATAACGAGTTCAGAAAGGTATGACAATCTATATTTGGACCAATATTTGCCTTGTTACGGCAAAAAAAGTAAATATTTTTCTGTGAAAAATCGGGGTGTGGGTTTTTTGGCAAAAATTTGAATTTTTTATTTGTGTTTTTTTGCTGTATCTTGGCCAAAAATAATCCTACACCAAAAATACATGCTGTTTTGAACAGGTAACAAAATAATAAATAAATCCATGAGAGTTTCCGGGTGATCTTGAAAAAATAAAAAATGGAATAATATCAAACAAATTTTATAGAAAATGTAAAAAACAAAATAGACTTCAGAGAATACCTAAAGAAATAAGTGAATATTCCAGTGGTCCATTGTTGCCTTTTTCGGTTCCCCTTTGAATTCCTGAGTTCCCGAGTTCCGCTCCTCAGCTTCTTTAAAGCTTCCGGCATCCATTAAACTTCATTAAAAATTAAATATGCGCCCCAGCGTTGTCAGTCAGTTGGCAGTTGGAAAAGTCGGGAAAACTCGAGAGCAGACTAACTGGGCGCCTTTTTGTGGGATTAGGGGCGTGGCACTACTCGACTGAGGACTCAAAAACCCTTTTCCAACTGACACGCATCAATTTACCAGGCGCTGTGCTCGAAAAATGCTCAAGACTTTTAATGAGATGAAGGTGAAATTTCATTATGAAGTTTGCCGCACTAAGATGAAGACCCCCTCCTTATTCCGCCTCCTTTTTTAGCGAGGGGGTGTGGTTGCGAACGGTAACCTCGTTAAGCTTAATTAATAGCAGCAATGTGATAAACACCCAGGCCAACAGCCAAAATGGTCGCACTAAGGCCGCCATTTTGAAGCCAGGCCTCCTCTACAAAAAACACTGAACAAAAATGCACATACTTTCCCGTTATTATTATTAATATGTTGTTTGAAAACACTTCATTTGAAAACGAAGATTTTTTTGATATTTATTATTTTTAAAATGTGGGAAAAAAACTTTAAAATTTTTAATAATTTCTTGGATTTAAAAAACAAATTTTAAAAATAAATAAAAAATATTTATAAATTGCCTAAATGGAAATATTTAATAAGTATTTATTATAGCACAAAAGACATATCTTAAAATATAATAATTTAATAATAAATAGAAGACTATAAAAAACAATATTTATTTGGATTCAAATTGCATTCGATTATATTTCAATCGAAATTTTTTTAAACTTAGTTATAATTAGAAAAACTAAAGACCATTATTATAAAATATATTTTTAAAAAATTCTCCAAAACAGTGTTTTTATGCCTTAAATTGTAATTTTTGAAGACCCTCACTCTGATTTTTCTCTGTGCACCAACCTACACACACAAAACTTTTGCCCAGGTGTCAGCAACAGTCAGCAACACAAACAACATCGACCGGCGACAAGTTCGTTTTTTAATGAGCCAACGTCAACGTTGCCAACTCGCTGCTGCCGTTGACATTTGACAGATTTCCTA